GTTGGATGTTAGGCCGGGCGTGAGTTGGTTTTGTCGGGCGTGAATGTGCTTAATATTTTGATTAAAATGATGCTTATGCATGTTTAAAGTTGAAGAATTGATCATGTATGTATGATATATGATGTATGGTGGTGTATGATTCATATGTATGCTTGGTAATGATATGTATGGATGTTTGAATATGATATGTTCATATGAGTATGATTATTGATCATGCTGGTGGATTGACCATGTATGATGAATGATGCATTATTGCATGTGATGCCTTATGGCATATGTCTAGCTTAGGACTTGAGGAGAGGGAAAATGTTTTCAAACTGGAAGAACTAACATAGAGTCTCTTGAGAGTTGTGCTTGGATAGACCACTGATATATACATATGAATCAATCATCACCATACATCATATATCATACATATATGATCCAACTTCAACCTTAAATATGCAAAAGCATCATTTTCAATCATAATACCTAACATACTACAATTACACCTCCTTTGTTTAAAAAGGCTAAAATTATTGATAGTGGAGCTCAAATCCACACATACTTACGTGGAGAAAATCTTAAGTCTTCCCCCTTAACTAATTGGGCAAACCACCCGCTTGTTCTTTTTTATCAGTTTTTAGTACACCACAATGCGTTTCCTTGCTTTTTTTCTCTATCAAATAGAATATCATATATGTATGATATATGATGTATGGTGATGATTGATTCATATGTATGCTTAGTAATGATATATATGAATGTTTAACATGATTTGGTATGTATTTCATATGAGAATGATATTGATCATGATGGTGGATTGACTATGAATGATGTATGATGCATTACTGCATGTGATGCCTTATGACATGTGTCTAGCCAGGACTTGAGGAGAGGGAAAATGTTTTTGAACTGGAAGAGCTCACATAGAGTCTCTTGAGAGTGGTGCTTGGATAGGCCACTGGTTTAAATTAGAGTGGTGTTTGGATTGGCCACTAGTTTTGGGTGAGAGTGGTGCTTGGATAAGCCACTAGTTTGGGTGAGTCTCCTCTAAGTCCTTAGCTAGTGTTGGGTAACTATTTTGTCTATGCTTGACGGGCACTTAGGCAGTATTATATTGGATGATTATATATCTCGGCGTCGAGCGTGCATTCATCAAAGGCAACCATTTTAAATTCACGCCGGGCACGAATTTATATGGGAGTCTCTGGATGAGTCACGCCGGGCGTGAAGAGAACCACGCCGGGTGCGATATAAACAATACCTATTATGATTTAATTATCATTCTAATTTTAAAAATATTGATCGTAACTGAAATAAAAAATTAACTGAATTAGGTTTATCTTATATAGGATTTTAATAACGGTAATCATGTAATTTTGAAATTCTATTAATTATTTTTTTTTGAAGCAAAATTCTATTAATTATTAAAGATACCAAATTCAGTTTTTGTTTACATGTCACTATATTTGCTATAGTTTAATTAATGACATGCAATGGAAAAATAGAACAACATACATTTACCTAGGATTATTATATAATAAGTATTTAGATCTCATGTACACAATTATATGCAAGGAAATAAAAATAACAATATTCTTGTACATATATACTACATACACAATGAAGTAAATAATGAATACAAAAAAGGCCTTATTCACAACCTCTACATCATAGCAACAACCACTAAAAAGAGTCACTATCAACGTGACTCACAATTAACTACACATTAAATCATTCCGTTAATTTTGTCATACTCTCATGAAAAGTCATGATCATCGTAGTCTTAATTACATGAAAAAAAGATATGTCACGCTTGTGAAAAGAAAACAACATATAAATACTATGTCATCATCAAATATGTAAGACCCACGGCCTCTCCTTCTCTTTTTCCTCATTTTCTTCACTCTCTCATTTCCCTACTCACTTTCTTTGCCTCCATTGTGCATTTCCTCTATTTTCTTGTTGTCTTAAGGTGGTGCTGCTAAGTAGGTGATTTAGAGCTAGCTTGGGCGTGGAGCTTTCTCTTCTTCTCCGTCTCTCTTTTCTCGTTCGTTCTTCTCTTCCCAAAGCTCGGAATCGTCTCACCGAGGTAAGGGAAGCTAGGTTTTTGCTGGATTGTGTGGAAATGAGTTTAGAAACTCATGAGGGGTTTGATGTTGGATGATTGTTGGCTGAGATTGAAGAAATTTCGTTTTCGAGGTTTCGGGGTTTTGGGTGAAAATTTGGGTTTTTCATGTTTTGATGGTTGCATGTTGGTAAAGCTGTGTTTTTTGAGTTGTTTGATGTAAATGTAGTTCATTTGATGGATTTCATGTGTTTGAGTTGGCTGATTTTGCAGGTTTTGGGTGAAATTTTTGAAGTAATGATGGTTACTGTTTGAAATTGTGCCGGACGCAGTTCTTCGAGCCGGGCGTGATCTGAAATGGGGAATCCCTAGGAAAATCATGCCGGGCGTGGGGAGAACCACGCCAGGCGCACTATCAGACGTGAATCTTATGTTTTTGTTATTGATATTACGCCGGGCGCAAGATAATTGCGTCAGGCGCAAAAGACCTCTGTAGGTCTCTGGTTGAGATTTACGCCGAGCGTGATTTTAATGCGCCGGCCGTGCGTTTTCTTTCAGAATTTGACTTTATAGTTTTCATGAAAGTTGTATCCTTGGATGTTAGCTTTCCAATGACGCTGGAATCACCCAAAAAGGATTTCTAGAACTCCATATATGGTTGTTTTAGTGAAGAGGGGTCAAGCTGCCAGCATTAGTTATATTTCCATGTAGTTTGGACTACAATGATCATACTATGTATGGGAGTAGAGCAGAGATAGGCTGGAGAGTAGCGGTAGTGTCACAGGTGGTGACTGGAGCTGATCTTTTGTGTAGGCTACCTTGGTATAACATTTTGTTAGTATTAGATACTTGACTTGTTGAGACTCAGGCTGGATATATGTATATATATATTCTACTCCTGCATGTTGTTATTTTGTAGTGTGGCAGCCAGGCGGGTCGCTACACGTGTGTGTGTGTGTGCGTGTGTCTGTGTGCCATTTCTAAGTGGGAGTAGAAGTGTGCTTGAGAGAAAGGATAAAAACCTAAGTTTAGAGATATGAAGGAGATACTTATATAAAAGGAACCTATTATAGAGGTAAAGGTTGTGGATAAGATCAAAGGTTAATATGTCATAAAGACTTGATGATTTTATTTTTTAGATAGTGAATTATGCTATCTTCCATGGATGTAGGCCACATTAGTTAAGCCACATAAATTTATTGTAATATTCTTTTTTTAATCTTGTTCATTTTGTTGTTACACTTTTCTACATAATTATGCTTTTTTTTGCATTTTAAGTTCTTGTTGGACACTTCATGTTTTTGTGTTTTCTATGTTTCTAATTTATACTATTGTCGTTAGGGTATGTTTCTTGGTATCTTTCTTTCTTATTTAGGATCAACAAAAGTTTCTTGTTTAGGATCAACAAAAGTTTAATTATGATTAAAATATTATGACATCTTTATTTTCTTATTTAATGTGGTAATTTTTTTTAAAAATTTTCAAATAACATATATAAATACTTCCAAAAATATGTGACAAACTAAATACATTTTAATTATTTTTAGAAATAATAATTTCTGAAATTTCCAGATTTTAAGAATTATGATTTCCATTTAGAAAGAAAAACCCTCTTCTAGAGAAGTTTTAAATACAAATTAAGGGCATAAGATATATGTGTAACCCTTGAAGGCATTACCATAACTAGTGCCTAGATTTATGGAAAGCATAAAATCTTCATACATATTCTAAATCAAAGTTCTCATCAAAATCAAAATAATATATATATAACATAAGATAATAACATTAATATGAATATATAATTATAAATTATAAATTCAACATCCTTAAATTCGTAAGTGAAACCTTCAATACAAAAGATTTTGCTTAAGTTGTTGTGTTGTGGTACAAAAAGTTGCGACTAAAAATATATGAACATAACAAATTAAGGCTCCCGTATTAAAATACCTAAAGTACAAGTTTTCTTCCTGTAAGAGACTCCCAACATTCTTAAATATATTCAAGGAATAAACAAATTTTTTTTTTTTTTGAAAACAGTAAACAAATAAGACCAAGTATTCCTGTACCAAGTGAAATATTATAGGAACTCAGCTCAAATATTATAAATGTTTCACATCCGATAATAGAGAAAAAAAACTTAGTAATTAATCAAATAAGTCAGAGGAAATACTACTATTTCACAGTGAATCAATATTTTTTTCTTATAGAGCAGATACATAATTTGAATGGTTAAAAAATATTTTATTATTAAAACAAATTACTTTATTACAAAGATAGACTTTATTTCATTTTTACTTTTTAAGTAACTGAAAATATACATGTGTACTTTTTCATAATTTATATACCTCCTGCATATTATAAAAAAATCAATAATAAATATGCAAGAGTTGTTAAGTTTATTAAATTCAGTCGCAAGTGATCACCAAATTATATTTATTTTTAGATACAAAGAAGTTTTAAGCAAGCTCTAGGGAATTCCAATCATGTTATCGCGATATTCGTATAGAAAATGAACTAGCTAAATGAGCTACTGGATTAAATTCGAATTTACACATTTATTGTGTTTAGTGAGCACATAAACATTATAAGACTTAATTATAAAAATAAAAGAGGAAAACCACATCTCAGAATAAATTTATGCACAATACATAAGATTGACAAATATACAGTTGAAATTAAACTATTAGAAATTTTATCACAAAAACAAAAGAGAAAAATCGGTAATATATGGGTTACTGTACTAGCAAGTGCTAATCTCTTTAGTATTTTTTTTATTTGACTATTTTAAAATAAATATGGTTTTGCATCAGGTTCGCACATACATGTTTTGATATTTGTTATTGTCAATTTTAAATCTAAATTTTTATAATTTTATTTTTAGTCATTATCCAAAAAAAGTCTCTTGCTAATGAAAATTGTAAATATAAATTTATGTACATTATCTTATTTGAATAATGTAAATTTTTGTATCCAAACTAATAAAAATAAAATTTATTTATCGCATGATGATATAAACTAGCTAGTTTATTTGATTCAACAAGTTCACCAAGTATTGTAAACTCCTTTACAAGCATATTCGGTTCTTATGGATATATTAAAGAAAAATAAAACTAGCTAGCTCTAATAAACTCAACAGAACAGAAAGATGGCAATAAAAACGGGGCCACTTTCCATAACATTTATGGGATGATAATATAAGGTGAATTCACTCATAGCCTAACTATTATAATTAATAACCGCCATGTATAAATGGCTACAAAAAAATCATAATAGAAAGGCCAAGAGGAGGTCATAGGTGAAATAATCATCAAAAGTTCCAACTCCAAAGGAATGAATGGTTAGAAAAAGCATCATGATCATAATAACCATAATCATCACCTTGAATTTGATCCTGAAAAAGCAGTGGAGCTTGTGTGGGGCACAAGAACCCACCATTCAAGTCATCCAACATGTTCCAAAACGTGGTGTCCCATTCCCCTTGGACTTGGTCCACTTGCTCACAAACACTGTTATTGAACAAGGTGCTCTCACTTCGTTGTGACTCCAAATCCAACGACGGTTCTTGATCTTGAGGAGGGTCATCGTTAACGTTGTTTGCGAACTTGGCAGCAACCTCTTGAATCTCTTGTGGGGAAAGACGAGAATGGTGAGACACGACGACCACATTGGTGTCCTCAAACGTTTGAGGTGTGTCGGGGAAATTGAAAGCGGCGTTTTTGCCACGTAGGCAGTAAAGCGCAGCGTCGAAGGCCCTAGCAGCTTTCTCTTGGGTGTCGTAAGAGCCCAACCATATTCTCTCACGGCTATTGGGAAGCCTAATTTCGGAAACCCATTTGCCCCATTTTCTCTTCCTCACACCTTTGTACATCTTGCAATTACTACTATTCCTACTATTATTATTGTTGCTATTAGTGGAACATGATGATGGTGATGACGATGAGTGATCACTAGAAGAATGATCAACACCAGCACCAGGTTTCACCATGTTTGATGGTGAGGGTGTATGTTACAATATTTTAGGGTGATTATGTGTTTATATATATAGGGGTTTGTGGGTTGGTTAATTTGGGTTGGAACTATTGACGGCGGAATGTGTTATATATTATATAGTAAGGGGGTATGATACGAGAGTATGATGAGATGAAGGTGTTCAAGGGTTTTCACTTTGAAACTCTATTAAACGTGTTGATCGATAAGAGCGTAAAAATAGTGTGGGCACTGGGCACGTGGCCAAATCCAAATGATAGGGTTTACGAGTCACGACTCACGTATGGGAAAGGGAGGCGGTAGGGTCAGATGATATTTATTGTACGGACACAAATAGTCCAGCACGTGGCTAAATTCTCAGCCTGAATTTAAGATCATCAAAAAAATATTACATCTTCTTTTAATTATAATTAAAACAAATTCTTTTTTCTTTAATCTAAAACATAAATAACAATTATTAATTTTTAAAATTATTTAAAGATATTTTTTTTATACTTATTAATTGCTAACTTTAATTTTTATTCATCTACTTATGAGTAATATTAAATATAATAACCACTTAAACAAAAGTTATATAAAAAATATAATTAAAATTCATGATAGAATTAACTAAAATTAATAAATGTAATTATTTTTTTATCTTGATGATTTGTCTTATACTGTTCATATATAATTAGAATCGAAAGTAATATTATGTAAAAGTAAAAATGATTTTTTAGATAAAAATCTAAATTAAGACAAGATATCACTATGATTTAATCACTAATCTCTTTTAAGATTTTTTTAAAAAATATTGGTACACTCAAGGGTATCACCATATTAAGCATATTAAATAAGGATTTAAAGAGATGTCATACCAGTTTGACTTTTCTTGACTACCTATACAATTCCAGCACAAGTTCCCGTAAAAAAAGATATAAAATATAAAAAAATTATATTTAATATCAAAATTTAACTAATAAGAAAGAAGTGACTTAACAAGTTGTGCCACCTATGCTACAAACGATTTTTACTTTTGGTTCAGAGTTAAACTTTTCATAAAAGTCTACCGATTAGAAAATATTGTAAGTAAATTTTTTTAGATCATTATTAAAAAAATATTAACTTTTATTTCATGTATAAATTTATGGTTAATGAAGGGTTTGAAAAAGCTTTACATTGTTATATATATTTAAGCTCTATACCTTTTTATACACTATTAGACGTATATGATTTCAAAAGAAAATGATTAAAGAATTTTTTTTAAACTGTAGTTGATTTTTTTAAAGCTAAAAATTTGAGTATAAATTAAATTAGGTCATTTTAGCATAATATAAATGGCTCGAAATTCAAATTTAACTTGCAAAAACTTGTAAAAAAAATTCAAAAAATTAGTTAGTACAAATATTTACGAGTTGAATTGATTTAGTTTTAGAAAAAAATTTAATACGGAGAAATCTTATAAATTGAATCAATTCAATTTGATTGGTTTGATTTTTGAATTATCACAATAAATTATTAAATTTTTAATTTTTTATCTTATAAATTGTTTATTTGTTATTTTTCTCTCATAGAATGAAGGTCGACCAATCACGTTCTTATAAGTTTGAGTTGACTGACCTTGTTATGTTATCTAAATGTCGATCGAGCTTGCCATAGGAGGATAGCTAACCGATCTATCTCGCCAATTACAATAACTCAACCATAACTTTAGACAAATGATATAAACCACTACTTTAGACAAATGATATAAACCACTACCTGATAAGATAAGTATGTGCAATATACATAGAATACAATAATCACTGACGTGATCAAAAAAATGTTGAGATCAAAGATTTAGAAATTGGCCAAAAAATTAGGGCTAGGAGGCCCTACTGCTAGGTTAAAAAAGAAGGAGATGCTTCTAGAAGAGGTAGGTATTCATCGAAGAAGCTAAACACACCAAAAAGATAGAGAAAAAAGAACTATTAGGTGCTTCAATGACAAGATCATCTTTATGATCGAAATATTTTGGCATCGACTATGGGGCCTAGTAAACTTTAAACTTCCAAACCCTTAAATAAGAGCTTTGAGAATCCTGTATTTGGACTGAAAAAATGGTGAGACATCAAACCAATCATGGAGCGATGAATCCTTTTATTGAGCTATTTGTAACAGCCCAGCAACCCGCATGTGGATATTGTCCGCTTTGGCCGCAGCCCTCACGGTTTTGCTTCTGGCAATGGCACGCATGCCACCCCAAAACGCGTCCACACAAGGAAGGTATCCACACCCATATATATGGCATGCTTCGTTCTCCTTCCTAACCGATGTGGGACTTCACAATCCACCCCCCTCATGGGAGTCCAGCGCCCTCGCTGGCACACCGGCCCGGGTCCCGGCTCTGATACCAAACGTAACACCCCAGCAACCCGCATGTGCATATTGTCCGCTTTGGTCGCAGTCCTCACGGTTTTGCTTCTGGCAATGGCACGCATGCCACCCCAAAACGCGTCCACACAAGGAAGGTATCCACACCCATATATATGGCATGCTTCGTTCTCCTTCCTAACCGATGTGGGACTTCACAATCCACCCCCCTCATGGGAGTCCAGCGCCCTCGCTGGCACACCGGCCCGGGTCCCGGCTCTGATACCAAATGTAACACCCCAGCAACCCGCATGTGGATATTGTCCGCTTTGGCCGCAGCCCTCACGGTTTTGCTTCTGGCAATGAAACCGTGAGGGCTGCGGCCAAAGCGGACAATATCTACATGCGGGTTGCTGGGGTGTTACACTATTGATAGAGGAATTGATGACAATGAGAAGGGAGAATGAGGATGCATATAAGAGGGTAGATAAGGTAAAGTAGAGAAGTACAAGAGGTCATTTGTAAAATGGCGTATTATATAGAGACATAGGATAGAGGAACTTTCCCTAAACATGGAATTTGGCATATCTTAGGACTTACTACAATTGATCACCAACAACTATTTGATTCTTCATCTTATCAATATTTTTTTTATTTTTACACTTATTTATTTATGTTCAGTTTTTTGTATTTTCAATTTTGCATTTGTTCATTAAATAAAGGCTCAGAGGTACTTTATATTATCATTTTTCTGTTATGTCATATATAATCAACCCTAATATGACTATTGAGTCGTGTTAAAGTTGCAAATGACATAGAAATAATCGATCCTAGTACGATCATTGAGTCGTATTGAGGTTGAGAACGACTTAAAAATAACCAACCCTAATACGATCATTGAATCATGTTGAGGTTGCAAACAAATAAAAAATAGCTGACCCTTGTATAATGATTAAGTCATGATGGGTTGTAAACGACTCTGAAATAACCAACCCTAGTACGACCATTGATTCGTGTTGAGGTTGCAAATGAATAAAAAATGATTGACCTTAGTAAGACCATTTAGTCATGTTGATGTTGCAAATGACTCAAAAATAGTTGACTTTAGTATGATCATTGAGTTGTGTTGAGGTTGCAAACGACTTGAAAATAACTAACCGTAGTATGATCATTGAGTCAGGTTGGGTTGTGAAAGACTCATAAATAATCGACTCTAGTGTGAGCATTGAGTTGTGTTGAGGTTATGAACAACTAAAAAATAATCAATCCTAGTACGATCAATGAGTCATGTTGAGGTTACGAATGTAAAAAATAACCGATTCTAGTATGACCATTGTGTCGTGTTGAAGTTATGAACAACTTGAAAATAATTTATCCTTATACGATCATTGAGTTGTATTGAGGTTACAAAAAACTTGGAAATAACTAACCCAAATACAATCATTGAGTCATGCTGAGGCTGTGAACGATGGAAAACAATCGACGCAATATGTTAGTTAGTTTAATTGTAAATTTTAGAGCTAGCTCAATCAAATTAGCTTAGCTAGCTGGTGACACCTTAATGAACTAGTTTGGTTGAAAAGAAAAATGTGAGCAAATTAAATTCATAATTTTTAGCCCTAACTTAGTTGAATTAGCTCCACTGACAGATGATGCCTTCACTAACTATTTTGGTTGGAAAGCAAAGTGCGAGCTACTTAAGCTATTAATTTTTAGCACTAGCTTGGTCGAATTACCTCAGTTGAAGCTCTTTGTATGTCACTCAAATTTAAATGCATATTGGTAGTAGATAAAAATGGTAGGAGTGGTGGTATAACATTTTTTTAGAATGAGAAGGTGGACATCAACAAAAAACTTTTTACCTCTAACTTCATTGATACAGAAGTTAAACATGATGGAAAGGAAGCCTAAAAACTAACTAGATACTATGGTTTCCCCTAACCACATGCATGCATTTATGAGTCGAGTCCATGACATCATTGCATGATCACTACAAGAAAAATCAGCATTATCTACGGAAGAAATCCGTAGATAATGCTAAAAATCCGTAGGTAACTGTTAATTACCTACGGAAAAAAATCTGTAGGTAATAAGCTCGTAGATAACGTTACCTACGAAATTTTCCGTAGGTAACGTTACCTACGGAATTTACCTACGGAAAATTTCGTAGGTAACGTTACCTACAGAATTTTCTGTAAGTAATGTTACCTACAGAATTTTCTGTAGGTAACGTTACCTACGGAAAATTCCGTAGGTAACGTTAACTACGAATTTTTTTTTTAATTTTAATAAATTTATTAATGTAACAACCCTCATATTTGGCCTCTCAAGGATGCTATTTCATGACACTTCACTTTTTAACGTGTTTTGTCCTTACAGCACATTTTCTGGGAAACTTCCCAGAAGGTCACCCATCCTTGTACTACTCCAGCTCAAGCACGCTTAACTGTGAAGTTCTGATGAAATGGGCTACAGAAAAGCTAATGAATGTTATCGGTATAAATAGTACAAATTAATTCATTTAAGTCATTCTCAACAAAGTTTGGGAGGTTTCTGTTTGAATCTGCACCGGGCGCAAGTTCTTGGCGTCGAGCGTGCATTCATCAAAGGCAACCATTTTAAATTCACGCCGGGCACGAATTTATATGGGAGTCTCTGGATGAGTCACGCCGGGCGTGA